GAGCATTTTCTTCATGGTACAAATGCACATGTTTAATTACAACTGCTAAATATATATATGTATGTATGTGTGTATATATATAGATATAGATATAGATATATATTGATATATAAATAAATTGGTATATTGATATATAAATCTATCTATCTATCTGTCTGCCACTGCTTCTGGCGTTGAGCATTTTCTTCAAGGTACAAATGGACATGTTTAATTAAACTGATATACATATATATGTATGTATGTTTGTATATAATATATATGTATATGTTTATGTATAGATATAGATATAAATATAGATATAGATAGATATATAAATAAATTGATATATTGATATATAAATCTATCTATCTATCTGCCACTGCTTCTACCACTGAGCATCTTCTTCAAGGTACAAATGCACATATTTAATTAGAACTTATATATATATATATATATATATATATATATATATATATATATATATATATATATATATATATATATATATATATTCACACACACACATACTGATATATAAACCTATCTATTGCTTCTGCCACTGAACATTTTCTTCAAGGTACAAATGGACATGTTTAATTAGAACTGCTAAATCTATCTATCTATATATCTTAAACTGATATAGACATAACACACACATATATAAACTCAGAAGAAGTTTTATTGATCACATGAGGTTGCATGTAAAGGTGCTGAACTTATTTAAACATGTTTTAGTTTTTGTATTTTATTAATTGTATTTTATTATTTTGTATTTCATTATCTTTCAGTTTTATTATAAGGCAACAATTTACTACTGTTAATTCAAATTAATATTTAAATGTTATCTAGTATTTGTCTAGTTTATCTTATCCTATTATATTTTATGCATTGTATTTTATGTATTGCATTTCCTCACATTTTACCATGTTTGCTGTTAACTGTTTGACATGGTCAATTAACTAATCAATCAACTTTTAACAAAGTAATGTTTGACATAATGATTAGACCTGGTGCTAGGGAATCATGGGAATTGTAGTTTATTGTGGCACCAGAGCTCTCTGACAGAGAAGGCTCAGTGTCTCAGAAAAAAAAATACAATTCCCATGATTCCCTAGCACTGAGCCAGGGCAGTTAAAGTGGACTCAGTTTGCACTATTTCTGGCAGTCTGCAAAGGCCCTCAGTTATTAACAACAATGTGAGAGCCAGTCTGGCATAGTGGTTTGAGTGCTGGTCTGTGGCTCTGGAGAGACCAGGGTTTGAGTCCCTGCTAGGCGGTGAAAGCCACTGTGTGACCTTGGGGAAGTCACACTCTCTCAGCCTCAGGGGAAGGCGACTGCAAACCACCTCTGAACCAATCTTGTCAAGAAAACCCCATGATAGTGTTTTGCCTTGGGGTCACCAGAAATCAGAAATTACTTGAAGGCACACAACGACAACTATTAACACTAAAAACAATTTTAAACATATTTTTAAAACAGCAAAAACATTAATTTTAAAGGCAGTGCAATTAAAACATTACAGCTCTCAAAGTCTTTTCTTTAAAAATCTCCCAATTCTGAACAGCTTAGCCTTATCAGAATTTATTTAAAAGATCTTTCCCTTTTGAAGGAAGACGGCAAGGAAAGGGCCATTCAAGCCTCTCTAGGGCTGCATCTGCACTGCAAAAATAATCCAGGTTGACCCCACTTTAACTGCCGTGGCTCAATGCTATGGAATTCTGGGAGTTGTAGTTTGTCAGATCTCTCTGACAGAGGAAGTTAAACATCTCACAAAACCCCAAATCCCAGAACTATATTCCCATTGAACTTGTAGTAAGAGAAGCAGTAAATTGTACCTTTTCTTAATAATTAAAGTCCAAAACACACTGCAGAAATAATCCAGTTTGAGACTGCTTTAACTGCCCTGGCTCAGTGCGACGGAATCCAGGGATTTGTAGTTTGTTGTGGCACCAGAGCAATCTCTGATAGAGAAGGCTAAATGTCTCACAAAAGTACAGTTCCCAGCATTGAGCCAGGGCAATTAAAAGTGGATTATTTCTGCAGTGCGGATGCAACCTAAGAAACTCCCCAAGCTGTGACATTTTATTGCAGCAGGTCCCGCTTATATTGTTAACCAGTCATTGTTTGTCTTCTTCGCAGTTCTTGGATGGACTCCGCACACAGACAATCATGGTGAAATCGTGCTGCGCAATAAACTGCAACAACAAATTCTCCCTCGGCAACAATATCTCATTCCACAGGTAAGTTGCTTGATTTCGCATTGGGGCATGGATGGCCCACGTTTTAAAGTTTTGGGTTTAAAAGACCCAAATTTCCTCCCTCTTTGGTCTCAAACACACTGCAGAAATAATCCAGTTTGACACTGCTTTAACTGCCTTGCCTCATTGCTAAGGAAATTCAGGGAACTGTAGTTTTGTGAGACATTTAACCTTTTCTGTCAAAGATAGATTTGGTGCCACAATAAACTACAATTCCCAGGATTTCCTCACACTGAGCCAGGACAGTTAATGTGGACTCAATTTGCACTATTTCTATCAGTCTGCAAAGGCCCTAAGTCTCTCCTCGTAGGGCTTCATGGTTCCCAGACCCTTCACCATTTTAGTTGCCCTCCTTTGGACACGCTCCAGTTTCTCCACATCCTTTTTGAATTGTGGTGCCCAGAACTGGACACAGTATTATTCCAGGTGAGGCCGGACCAAAGCAGAATAGAGTGGCACTATGACTTCTCTTGATCTAGACACTATACTTCTACTGATGCAGCCTAAAATTGCATTGGCCTTTTTAGCTGCTGCATCACACTGTTGACTCATGATGCTACTCCATAAACCAGCCTTCTTCAACCTAATGCCTTCC